AGATCCTGTGGTTTCTTTGTATTAAAAAACAACCAAAAAAAAGTTATAATTGAGGCCTGACTTGTAATTTTCAAATTCCTAGAGGCAGCAAACTCAGTATTCTATAGTCTCTTGTGGATTGGGATGTTCACGAGTTTCTCTGTGCATAGCTGACAGAATTTTCACACAAGATTTTCAACCCTATTGCCATGCTCCATGGAAATCTGTTCCATTGAATGCAGTCCAGGAAAACTGATCTGTGACTTCCACAGGAGATGCTCATGAATAATACATCTAGCTGCTTTCAGCAAATCCAAACCTCTAATGAAAAGCAAAGGCATATTCCCAGTTTGAGCTCCACTGAGCACCAAATCAGACCCTGGCAATACAAATCCACAGCCAAGGGCAGAATGCAGACCTTCATCCTGCCTTAACCTGGAGAACAAAACTGAAGACTTCTCTTTAAATGTGCTGCTTTACCTTTTAGAACAGGGATTTTTAGATATTTGCTTATACTATTGGATGTTCTCTCCAACACAATCAGCACAGAATTTTTTTTTTTTTTTTTTTTTTTTTTTTTTTTTTTGGTGTACACTGCTGCATAAGCATTTTTTAAGCAAGATTTTTAAAATGCATTTTTCATGCATATAATTATAGGATCATGGACAGGTTTGGGTTGGAAGGGACCTTAAAGATCATCGTATTCCACTCCCTGCCATGGGGAGGGACATCTTCCATTATCTAGTTGCTCCAAGCCCTGTCCAATCGAGCCTTTGAACACTTCTAGGGATGGGATGTAGATTTTTTTTTATATACATACACAAAATATTTTTCATCTCCACTGCTGCCCTAGGTCAAACACCTGAGACCATTCAGTGGTTTAGCAACAGGAGTTTAGAGGAATTTCAGGCTTACATAGGCACTGGGTGGGGGTGGCTGAGTCCCCTACACAAAGCCTTGACCATACACAATGGACAGCAGGACAGGGCAGCCTCTTAGCATGGTCCAGGGAGCATGGGCTCACCTCTGTCACACATGGTGAAGTAGCTTGGGTTTAGGGGTCTCTGTCTGAGGAGAGAAGGCCAGAATCAGGGCTGATAGGTTTACTTTGCCCCGGCTATCTCTGCTCATTGCCCAGCCATTATTCAGGGTCCTGCTGGTGGCCATCTCTATCCCCACTGCCCAGCACTCTCCAGAACCCTGCAAATTGATAAGGCTGCTTCATGATCTGTGGCTGCTGGTTTTAATTAAAGCTGCCTCCTCTGCATCACTCTCAGCCTTGTGCAGACAGCAGCACAAATGATTTCAGCCTCTTATACACTAGATGCCAAGCTCATAGTTAAGAGCTGATATTATTCAGGAAAATTCTTTCCCTGCTACCACTGGCTCAAGTGAAGCTGGAAGCTGAGAACTAAGGATAAAATATACAAGGACAGCAAACTAACTCTCCACTTGCAACCCTGACTAAGCAGACAGATGGTTAAGCATGTCACCTTCAAACCTCCCCATCTTGGGAGCTCCTGGAGGAACAGATGCAGAGGGGATGGGGATGAGGATGAGGTCAGCCCAAGTGACCCCCTCACTCACAGCTTCCTTCTGGGCTGCAGGCAGCTCCTGGTCCCTTGAACTAACAAGACAGGTCCCAGTTAGGAGAGTACAGCATCTCCTACTTGTGAAAATCCATTCTTAATTCCTACTGACGCATTCTGGGAGTGGGGTACAGGTTAGGGCTCCATTTACACCTGAAGTCAATTCTGGAGTTATCATTCCCTCATTCCTCTGCAGGTGGGACTGGGGACATTAATGGACTGTGTTGGCCCTAACCATTGTTCACTTGGACCCACAACTATCTGCCCTGCACAAAGGCAGGACCAGAAAGCTCTCCATGGGCACCTTGGAGCTTTACACCTAAGGAGTAAGCTTACACCTAAGGAGTAAGCTTTCCTTACTTTCATTCTGCTTTTACAGCATATGAGGTTCAAGTAAGTTATTTTATCTTCCAAGTACCCTGGTGGAGGGGGAAAAAGAAAAACCCCCAGATTCCTGACCCTGCATTCCGGGTAGGGATGTTCAGCACTTGGACCTTGCTTTTAGGACTACCCTTGATAGAGATAGTATATTCTGAAGCACCAGACCACTGAGAGATGATATTGTTTGCAGAGTGGGAGGTTATCTTCTTCCCTGTTATAATCAGGAGAGCAGAAGACAGGGCTGCCACCAGCTCCTTCCTCACAGGCTCCCTTCAGGGCTCCTAAAATTTGGATCAGAGGCACCACAGCTACAGTCAACTCAAGACTAGCTGTTGAGGGTCTTGGAGGAAGATGTCATACTCAGGTCCTGTGCACCAAGACACCTGTGTCATGCAAACATGGAAATAAACATGAATATTAATTGATGCAAGGGTTTTATGGTCACAGCAGGATTGCAGGCAGCTTCAGCTCTTTCATGTGTGGGATGTGCAGTGTCTTATTTCTCTCATGTCTCCAGTGTTGTCATAGAAGCAAGCAACATATTTTCTGGTACAGATCTACTCTTGTACATCAACTGGTACATTTTGTGCTTTGTTTCTGTCTCCAGAGGACAGGAACAGCCATCTTGAACCTATGTGAACTTTGAGGATGTTGCAGCATGCTGGGTGTTTTCAAGGGACCTGAGGTATCTATCTCCAGGAAACAGATTGAAATGGCAGGGGGTGAGCGGTTGTACCAGAGAGTGATGCTGCTCTATGGGTTTGGACCGTTAATGCAAAAGTTAAACAATTGATGTGAAAATATTTTTAGAAATTATTTGTACATTCAGCCTTTAGTGGAGGTGTGTGGGGAAAATGTTTCACGACTACAAGTGACGTAGAATTTGGCTCAAATGAAGCTGAACAAGCCCAAATTTGCACTTAGAATTTATTTCTTCATTTAAGTTTCAAAAGCTATGTAAAAGTGGGTGCAGCTTTGAAATATTTTCCCATCATGGAAGTCAAAGTGATTCAAATCCAGTTAATTCCCGGGTTCTGTAGCCAGTTTGCTCACACTTGTGGCGCTCAGTGATCCCACACAGTTCAAAGCCAGATGCCTGACCCAGGGCCCTGAACTCCAGTTGTGCTGCAAAGGAAAGCCTGTGAAGAAGGTGGATCTGGAGACACAAGGCACCTGGGAGGGTGTCCCTTGATACACCCAGCTGGGGGACAAGGTCCCTCTGCTTCAAATGGGGACAAATAACCCCAGCCTTTCCTCAAAGCTGGATGTTGTGATGACTCAAATGAGCATTTCTGCCTGTGGTCTAACAGGAGCTGCATATTGTGCTCTCTGTGTGTCCTAGCTGAGGAAACGTTTTTTATAACATACGGAGCTCCAATCTATGTTTATAACAAGGCATGTCAAGAGTGCAGCACTTCCTCCCATGCCAAAGAGAAAACAACCACCCAGGAGATAAAGTGCTACCCAGAGCTCAGAACCAAATGTTTTTCTTCTCAGTGAAGTAGAAATGCAGCATGATTAGGACTGTCAGCCTGAACACAGAGCCCCATGCAAAATTCATAAAAATTTGATTTTCTGTGTCCCTTTCTGTCATGAAGTGACTTTACCTTTAAGGTGGTTTTGGGAGCTAAGGAAGTTGAAGTTGCTGGGGACTGATGGGAGTCTTTTCTCCTGACCAATTATCGGTCATTACTGGGAATTGACAGCAGTTTTGACCATTGAAAAGTGGGATCAAGTTGTGAACCCTACCTTAAGATGTAAAGCCAGGGCTCTCTTGTCTCTCTTTGTTTACTGGCAGTGAAAGGTAACCGAGCTCCGGCTGGCCTCCCGTTCCCTGCCCCGGCCATGCGGCCGGGCGGGGGCTGGGCTGGGCCTGCCACAGCTCCCGGCCGGGAGATGGGGCCTGCGGGGCTTGCCCCGGGCTCTGGCCGGGCCAGGCCGCTCCCTGGCTCGGCTGCAGCTTTTTTTTGCTGTGACTGAATTCACCAGAGACTGACAAGTAAAGAAAGGAAAAAAGCTCTAGACCTGCGGCAGGCTGAGACAGTGACCACACTCTCCAGAGCAGCCATGAAGAATTTTCCATCACAGACGGCTCCAGCTGCTGCTCCGGCAGAGATCACAGAACCATCTACAAAAGCCTGGGCAAGATTTTAAACTTTTCATTACCCAGATGAGACTTGCGGATTAATCCTTTTATCCAGAGAGAGAAAAAGAGAGCGATCAACATGTAAAGAGACTTTATAAACTATCAGAGACAGTAAAGAAAAAGAAGTTTCAGAAAAGGTAGAGAATAAGGAGATGCTTTATGAGCTGAAATACCTTTCTGTTGAGACTATGGAAATGGACAATAAGGTCTTGAAAAAACTCCTTTAATTCATGACAGTATATAGGGAGGAATGGAGTGTTCAAAGTGTAAATTTTAAATAAAAAGTAGAGTTATTGTGATACAGTAAAGTGCTAGAATAAAGTGAAGCGAAAATTTGAAGTCTTGGGGGGCAATGAGAAAACTGTTTTTCAGTGGAGCTCACAAAGACAGATGAAGAAGACTTTTGTGTTTGAATAACTCATCCTTAAAATGACATCCCTAGACTCATGGCCCATACACACCTCAGAGTGATGTGAAATGGGAGGAGTGAGCTCTGATAACAGCAGCTCTGGGCAGCTGACATCAGGGCAATAGAAAACTATAACAGAAGTCGTTTTCTTGTGAGAAACTCCATAAATTAACAGAAAGAGACTTCTGTTTCTCTACAAAGACTGGTGAAAAGACTGCAGCAGGAATTGGGACTGTTTTAACCATCCAAGTTCCAAAGTTTTTGTCTCTGTTGTCATGTGAACAAGGGAATGGTGGGTAGTAGGAGATAAAAAGGGTTTTCTGGAAGTTTATTCTGGTGTTCTTATTCTTGTAGTTTGTTAATAAACTTTCTTTATTCCTTTTAAGTTTTAAGCCTGTTTTGCTCTTGTTCTAATCTATATCTCACAGCAAGAAATAAGTAATTTTTTTTTAGTTACTGGTTTAAAACCACGACACTTTCCTTCCTTTTCACCCAGGCACCTTTGTACAAAAGCATCAAAGACACCCAGCTGGTCCAGTCCCTTCACCAGGAATATCCCTTTATCCTGCAGTGCTCAGAAAGTGATGGATTGAGACACTGGTCCTCTCTGGAGGCAGCAGAACACTCTGTAAGTAGGCATTTGCTCTGAGCTCTCCCTGGACAGATATTTCAGCTCTCTGGTACCCTCAAAAAGACACTGCTTCCCCTATCACACCACTGCTCACACTCATGGTGTCTGCAGGCACTTACCAAACTGTGCCATCACTCCCTGGGCTCAGCCTGGGAAGAGTTTTTATCTATTCTGGCAGGAGTCCTTGGGGGTTATGCTTTCTGCTCTCCCTCCTCAGAATCTCCCCGAGGCCATGCTGGAAGTTCCACATGGCCCTGAAAGCACCCACTCCCCCAAATCACCTTTTCCTGGCTGAAAAGAGCACCCTCCTGCCCTTGGAGGGGTGCCAGTAGCCTCCTGTTCCCAGCCACAGCCAGGAACAGCTACTGCCTCTGTCTGCAGTAGCTTTGGCGTAAATCCAAATATCAGAAAATGCTCTTGCTTTTTCCAGGAGAAAGCTCTGGTACTTCCCTCTGACATGAAAGATGTCTGGGGCTCTTCTGGAGTCACAGATGATCCTAACTATAGTTACAGTGCCTATTTTAGCAAACTTAACTTTGGTTCTTCACATAAATCCTCCTCAGGTCCAACCTTCATGTTTGTCTTCTGTGAGGAAACTTTGCTTGACTCTGTCCTGCCTAAAAACAGATGGAAAGGGGTAAAGATGGAGCAGGGTCTTCTCAGTGGTGCCAGGACAAGAGGCAACAGGCACAAAGTGCCAAAACATAATAAAGAACTTATTTGTTGTGTAATTGGATGGACAAAGCAGCATGTTGGCAGGAGAGGCTGTGAACTATCCAGGCCTGGGGAAATTCAAGCACTACCTGGACACAGTCCTGGGCAAGCTATTCCAGCTGGTTCAGCTTTGTGGAGAGCTGGATTAGACACCTCCAGAAACACCTGGAGAGAGGTCCAGCCTCAACTGTTCTGTAATCTGGTCCCCTCAACTGAAAACATCATTTTAACTTTATTAACAGGAGTTGCCAGCACCTTTCTGTAGCATGTGGACATGCTTCCTCAGGGAAGCATTCCCTTTTGGGAAAAATCTTGGCTCTCCAAGGAGCACCGTAATTGTGCCCCTTTCCCTGACCCTTAAGCAGAGTCTTCCCTAAACAAAAATCTAGGTCATAGTTTAACTTTATTTTCTTTTTTTTTTTTTTCCCATGAAGTAATGTCCCAACATTTTTTTTTTTACTTCCTGCATATGGCAGAAGGCAGAAATCAGGGAGGATAAAAGTCAAACATGAGAACTGGGAAGCAGTGTCAGAGCCACTGAGTTACCTTGGGGTTGCTGTCAAATCCATTATTATTCATTACAGTAACCTCCTGCAGACTAATGGACACGTGTCCTATTAGTCCTGCAGTCACTGTGGGTAAAATAAAAAGCTTGGACAGTTCTAGGAAGGGTCTCAATTTCAAGCCAATTTTATATCACAGCCTATTTTTGGTCAGTGCTGCTCTCTTGGGTCCTCCTCAGAGCTACTGTTACAGAACAGAATTTTTTCCTCAAAGATGACTATCTCTTGTTGAATATAGCTCATGCTCTGAGTGATAAAACTGCAGGGGGTTGCATCAGAGTCAGGGTAGAATCCAGACCTAAGCCCTGGTGAATTCAATGGGCCCAGAGCTACCTAGGTGGCTTTCAAACAAAAATAGGCATTTGAGAAATTTTATTCAGGCTACAATCAACCATGCTTCAACACTGGACACTATTTGCTGGTGCTAACATTTTTTTTTTCTTAGAATATAGTTTTTTAGCAAAAAACATGTCTTGTTGCAAAATTGTTCTGCAAAGCTTGCTGACCTTGTGCTAATTAATCACACCTCTAGGCACACATCATAACCTAATGCTAGGCTAAACAATGAGCCTATAAATAAAAAAGAGCTACTTCTAAATTTCACATGTTTGGCTTTAAACTCAAAGACTTGCAAGGGGGTAGGAGGTTACTTCACTCTATATTTATCTATTTAAAATTAACAGAAAGGAACAAATAGGCCTCTTTGCCCTCAGACTGGAGAATAAGGTCAGGATGACAAGTGGCACTGTAGCATCACAGTCTGGACATTAAGGTGATGCTACCTTCTGAAAGATGTCTCCAGCTGGAAAGCGTCCAGGTTGGCAGCAGACACTCCACTCACTCACAGACTAACCCGGCCACAGATCATTCACAGCAGTTGAAGATATGAGAGGGGCTTTTGGTATGGTAGTCCAGAGGGGGTTTATTTGCCACCACTCCAGGGGAACCAGGGACCAAAGGCAAGGAACAGCGGAGGGTCCAGGATTAAATACAGGGCGGACAGGGGATGGAGAAGAGTATCAGGGACCAAGGGGTTGAGAGCACAGGGGCAGTACAAAGGCGGGGCTCCCAACAGGCAGCCAATAGAATGTTGGGACAGTTACAGGGAGACAAGGGCAGACATTGAGGAACAGAGAACTTTCCAGAAGGTAGGCATAAAAGGTAAAAAGGGGTGGGATGGCCAATGGGCCAATTGGCCAACAGGGTGCAGAGAACCGGGGTACACTAGCATGGCAGTGCAAAGGATCATGGCAAAAGGCCTTTTCTATACTTTTGTATTATTCCTCAGAGGCTTCCCTCTATGACATAACCACAGTAGGTTCCTGAGCTCCTCACGGCACGGGCGGGGCTGGGAGAATCTGGCAGCTCAACCATCAACATAGATGTGCTGGCAGCACTCTGGGCTGGACACACTGCATCCATCAGGAAATATTTCCCTCATGTCGTGAGTCACTGCCCTGAGATTTTACATCCATGACATGTTAAAAAAAAAAAAAAAAATTAGTATTATCAGTCTTTCCTGCCAGTTTCTAGCATGTGATTGCTAAAAACATCAGGAGAAAAATACTTTCCATTTGTTTCCAGAAGCCCTGAGGAATGAAGATGTGAAACCTGGGAGTGAGTCAGAGGCTCTCCTGGAAAATGGCCCTTGTCACATAGCCAGATATTCCACAAACCCCAGGAGCTCCTGCTGGTGAAGGGACAAGGTATCCTCTTTGCCCTGAGCTGTGTCAGGCTGTCTGTTCTCTCCTCTGTCTGCAGGTACCACTGCCATGCTTAGCCAGGATGGGAGCTGTCCTTGGGCTAAGGTAACAGAGATCCTTAGGCTCTCTTGGTGTCCCTGCTCTCCTCTGCTCTTCCTGGTCCTGATTTGCTCTAGCTAGGCTGATGATGGACCATCTCCATAGGGAAACTGACATAGAGCCTGCTAAAACATTGGTATACTGAGCTGAGCCTACCCTGAGCTGGTGGTGGCTCAAATGCAATTCCAAGGCAATGCTTTATCTTGGATTTCTAAATTACTAACCTAGGCCTCAAAAAATGGCTATTTTTGTCTCTCTTATTGGGTGGTGAGGTCTTGGAACAGATTGCCTAGGGAAGCTGTGGCTGCGTCATCCCTGGAAGTGTTCAATGCCAGGCTGGACAGGACTTGGAACAACCTGGGATAGTGGAAGGTGTCCCTGCCCATGGCAGGGGTGGGATGGGATTTAAGGTCTCTTCCAACCTAAACCATTTCATGGTTTTATGACATTTGGACACGGAAGTGTCCCAAATGCTAGAGCAGCTGACAAAGAAATTACTAGAAAGTGGATCTGGTTTTGATAAACCTGTTTGGATTTTGGTGTTAAAATCATTCTTCGCCTGTAAACTTTGACTCAACCTTAGGTGCAAATCCAAGGTAGCAGGTCATAAGGGTCACTGGTAAAACAGGGGAAGGGAGGATGGATGTGGACTGAGAGGTCTTTCACACTAGTTACAAACACAAGTGAAGGCAAACATAGAAGACAGTGACTTTGACAATCTCATTCCTGAGAGGAGCCAGGGAACAGCAGGGTCCTTGAACACAAGTCTCACATCTGTTGATGGAAAGTTGCACGGTAGGATTTTTCCAGAAGTATACCAGGTTAGTCTTCCTGCCTGCAGGAGCCCATGGTCATCCTGCTCTGCCTGCAGCCATGTGAGGACCATAAGAGCCTGGCCATGAACCATTGGTCAGATCCTCTCACTTGCTGAGCTCAGCAGAACCACAGCAAGGGGGAAGCTGAGAACACTGAGGATTATCAGATGAACAAGAAGCATCAACTGCATTCTTTGATCACCTCCAGGTTAACACCCATGGCATGATTTTAATTGCTTAAGATACAGTCACACTGCTTGGATCTGTCCCAAGGACTGAGAAACTCAAGGATGCTGCTTACTTTGTTCCTCTCTCTTGCTCATCAAGTAATGCTTGCTGTGCTGGGCAGATGTACAACATCACTGCAGTGCCTCAGGCACCCAGCTCCAGTGAAGAAACCCAAGAAGTTCATACCTATGTCATGCTGAGCTCTATCAGCCTGTAAACAGCAGTGATGGCCCTGAAGCACCTGGGAGAATGGGAAATGGAGAATGGAAAAAGAATACTTGTTCATTCCCCTGGATACCACTGGGCTAAAACACATCATCCGAAGGCCCCACTGTAGGGCAAAATTCCCCCATGGGGCTACAGATGAGGATGTTGAGTTTGAGGCTGCTTATTTGCATTTGGAAGGAATTTGTTCCACTGCTGGAAACTTTTGTGGCTAAAGAAGTTAGAGGAGGAAAAGCCAGTTAAACTTTGGCCTTTTTCTATGGAGGGTAAACTTAGAAACATGACTTAGATGCATAATTTAGAAAACCAAGATAAAAGTCAAGGCAGCTGCTTACTCCAGAGCTTTTTTTTATGATTACTGCTTACCAGGCTTAGCCACAGGGACTAAGTGCCATATTTGGAGTGCAGACTATTCTGGCTGGTAGCCATAAAACCCACCAAGTATAAATTTTGACCATGTAATTCATCTTCCCTGAACAAACTCAAAACCTAGTGAAGCAGGAAGGAATAGGATGTGAATGGAAAATCATCTTTGTGCACTCAGGCTTTGATGACCAGTGATACCCGTGTTACGCTGTGAAATTTGACAAGAGGTTTTCTAATCAGAGAATATCAGTGGATGATAAAACTGAAAGCCTTAGCTTAGCTGT